AGTGGTTTTGGGGAGCCGAAAGACGATTCTGTAAATTGAACGGCTCGGCCTGTTATACGTTATCCGAGACTTCTTTGCTTTATGCCCCATAGAATCGGGCAAACGGCGCAGATTCTATTATAGACAAGAAGCCACCGTCGGCCTAGCTGCCACGCTCGATGCCATTTCCACATGTATTATGCATGTCCGGGCAAATTTCGTCGTCTGTCGCGACGAGGGGAAGCATCGTCTTATTTATTATTTACGTTCCCTTTAGCCGATAAACGGGGCAATCTAACTCGGCTATCTTGAGAATCCCGACGCTTCTCTTCGACGATCTAGAATTAAACTGTGTGCCTCAGTTTATATTAATTTTTCAGCCGGAAATTATTTGCAGAGCATAATTTATCGGACGAGAAATGTATATCGCATAATGTATATCGTAATGTAACGTTTTTAATTACACACACACACACTGATCGTATAATATAAGCTTGTAAACACGTAAACATATTGTGCAAATTATGTGCGATGTATTATTTATGAATTCTTTGTGCGAAAATATCACGTATAAATTACAGCGTAATGAAATATCAATGATAATAATACGTGCGCTGCAAAATTATATCTGGATATAATAAACTATTGTAAACTGTTTGCGCACGCGATGTGAGATTATAATAATTTAAGATAATTAAATTTATTTGTTCAATCTCGGAGTAAATATACATTATTAATCTGAAAGATTTGCGCAAGGATCTCATCGCATACAGATTTAGTAGCTATAATGTTTTATAGTCTTTAAACAATGATTACAGATCTCTAAATCAGAATCACATCATTTTCGTGTAATCAGTTTATCATTTTTTTATTGATATAGTATAGAGCTATTCTTCTCTCTGTGTTTCGCAGCAAAGGAATGAACTGACCTAACGTAATACTTTACTGCTTACAACAAGATTAGCTCACGATGAATATTCTGTAGCGATGGATATTCTGTAGAAACAATTACTTTGATCTTTGATATTGCACTCTAAATATTCCATCGCTGTAGTACATCACTAATAGAACAGCTTCGTTCGGGCACTTAATCGTTTGTCGGAGCTTACACGAAACTTGCGATGCACAGAACTAGATTATATGTAGTTAGTCCCAGTGAATGTAAATCCTTAACGAGTTGCCAGAGAGCGAAATAAAAACTTTCCGCTGACCTAGATACTATGTTGCGATACTTGGGCTAATTCCCGGGGCTTTACTCTTATCATCCTGACGGTCGTAGACAAGCGTTGTTTATCAGAGCGATGTCAGCTTTTACCCCGCGGGACAAGATATCCTCCTAGAATTTCCCCGCGCAATCAACTTCCTTCCAGCCGCGTCTCTCCCTCCTATACACCCTTGCCGATCTCGTTTCACCCTCTTCACAACTTTCTTCCTCACGGCGATATTCCGGCAGCCGAAAAACACCCCCATCCCGGCGCGTCCGTTACGAGGTAGAAAAAAAAAAGCGGGTTTTGAGGGAGGGGGGAGGGGGCGCCCGATTTCCCGGAGAAAATGATGCGCGCCGCTATACGGGATATTACTTGCCGCGGATGTTAACGTCCGCGGTACCTTCTTTTTTTTTCTTTTTTTTTTTTTTGCGGACGCGATGGCGCGGCCCTGAGAGGGGAGCAGCGAGGGCGGCGGCTTTGGACATATAGCTGTGTCAGATAGCGGGATGCTGTAAATCTGTGCATTATACATGACAGTGAGATCAGCGCCATTTGTTATTCCCGGGCAGAGCGCAGAAAAAGAGACGTGAAAAATTACTGGCACAGGCAGCACTTACCGAAACGAGGATATTGGGGAATTTCTAGACATATAGAGGAGAGAACTTGGCAGAGATATCTCGCCAGTAGAATCGAAATTATCGTTGGCGCAGTGCGTAATATCCCGCTTGATACACACGCTTGCGTCTCGTTGATTATGCGTTCTGGCACGGGTCATAACGCAACGATTGCAACGTGTAATGTTTTCCACCTGCCTCTCGGCAAACCGTGTTTTCCTCGTACAAGGTGCTTTTGTGTTCGATTACAAGGCTGATTATATGGGGCTATCGCGGTTAATTTGACGGGCTAATCTAGTATCGATTTTCAATCGCGATGGCCGAACTATGCGTATATTAAACCAGAATTTCAAAGTCGATTACAAACGCGTTATATATATATATATATATTTTTTTAGGGATATTACGATGGGGTTCAGGCATAAAATAAAGATTATTTGTAACAAAACGTTCTAAATGTTTGAATAGCATTGATTTATCTAAAGATATTCCGCGCTTAGTTGCACGAATCAATCATGTCTGCAAAAAGATGAAAAAGATTATTTGTGCATTTATGGTTTTTTAACTTTTATTAAATTGTCCGAAAATATAAAATTGTTAATTTTTGAGACGAGAATTACAACATAATATCTTTACAAGAGATTTAACGAAATGTTAATGGCTCGAGCATTGTTTATCTTGTCGCCTAGTAAATTTCCCAAGTCTTAATTCTATCGCAATAGACCAAGTACGCTGTGCTTTCACGTGAAATACGAACAGCGACTCGTCGAATTGCTTGTTTTACGGATAAATTTACCAAGGATGCACCATGCTCTAAGAAATAAACGCGTCGTTGGCAAACGTATCGTTTTCTTGTTTCCTCCAACTTTCTTTGAAGACTCTGTAGGATGATTCCATTATATTTCATCGTCTAAGGATATACTACAAGGGAAATACGCTGCTATAAAGTGATATGAAAAAATATTGTTAAAATATAATAAAGTTGATTTATAGTTTATGAGTTTTTTTAAACAAGGTAACACATTGAGATATAAGTGTAGCATTGCAATATTTTTTCGTAATATGATTGACACTCGTCAATTTATAAGTAATGTGTGAAACTTGTCAAGCAAAAATAAATATTATTTTTAATATATTTGTATAACGATTTAAATTATTGACAGGCATTTTTGTATTCCCCAATATTATCTCGAATTTTATTATTTAAATTTAAATGATTTGAATATAATCACTTTTCTTTAATTATTATTACATATATTAAATATCTCTTATCGAAAAATTTTTATTATAAAAATTTTTATATATGAACATATTTTTTTATAGAGGCAATTTATGTATACTAATTTGCATTAATCAATTTCATTGTATTAACAACTTCTTAGGCGTATCGCGAATCAGAAAACCTTAAAAAGTCGTCAGATGAAACAGCGAAATTTTTCGCGATTTAATTAACAGGGCACAATAAATTTAGTCGGGTATAGACGCAAAATTAATATCCACTTCTCTTTCGAAGCCAGTTTGTCATTTCTCTTTTTGTCACGAGTGGGTGGTGTTATTTACCTTCCATGGGCATTAAAAAAGTTGACATACAAACTGCGCCATGTCGTACATACCCCGGGAGGAGATGCAGGCGGCGCGAAATCTGAACACGAATGAACGTGCAGGTGTCCGTAAATAAACTTGCATCGAGCTTGTGTAGCAAACCGGTGAACGTAAAAGGTAGTTACGCTTTCGCGAGTTACCCGGCTCACAAAGGTCTTTCAGCTAACGGCGGATTTTTATTTGAAACTGCACACCAGCTTCATAGCGTAGAAATATCGTTTATATAATCACGCACGTTATATATATCGTATAAAGCGCGAAGAAATGTTTTCGTACTTTTGCGTGAATAAATACGATAGGATGTAATAATTATGTAATTGATTGAAGCTGCGCGGGCGTGAAACCGTATCAATGTTTTAAGATATATATTTTGCTTTATATTTATGCTCTTTTAAAAATTACATATGTTTAATATGTCAAGCAATTATTATTTCACGTGACTTATTTATCATGTGACCTAATTAATTGTAATGATAGTACTACATCACTTTGTTGAAGAATAGAATTCTGATAAAGTATTTTGAAATGTAGAATTAAACATGCTATTAATATCATTAAACTGTCGATCATTAAAGAGATAATTGGAAATGAGCGATAAAGTAATTTCTATCGCGCTTCGAGGCGTGCAACTTCATAACTATGGATATATAATAGTAAATAAATCACACGATATTCACACACACAGACGGATTTATGTTGGAGTGATTGATAAAGAGAATCTTTTGACCACAACTGTATTTTTGATGAGTTACAAATTATTTGACGAACTTTTTAAGTTAATCTTATCTCTTTTGATTATAAAATTATTTTTATTAATACAAAATGTTATATACAGGGTGTCCGCCCATAAATGTCCGAAAAAAAATATTTTGTAAATAATTACATACTTTTTCTTAAAAACAATTATTTTTTTTATTATCAATTGATTTGTCTCATTATTCTGTACATAAAAGTATTACGGTAAGATTATCGAAAACTAAATATTTTACGAAATATTTTATATTTTATATCAAAATATGTCAGATTAAGATATAGAATAACTCGAAAAATACTTAATGAAAAAATATTTTATTATAGTGTTTTGAAAAGGTCTCAAGAAGGGCTATAAGAATATACAATAAAAAATAAGGGCTTCTATTTAAAAAAAACGATAGTGATCTTTATAACTTGAAAAGGTTATGAACACAAAAAATTTTATTACATCCGCTTTATTGCGGACTAAAAACTGTGCTAATTTCTCTTATTAAACTTTTTTGTAACTTCAATCAGTTGTGAGATATTTGCCTGGACATTTAGGGACGGACATCCGATATATATTTTTTTTATATCAATATTCTTTTTAATTAAAAATGATTAAAAACTGTCGAGAATTAAGTTTTAAGCGAACAAATAATTGTCTCTTATTGTTTATTTAATTTCATCGTTTCGAAAACTTGTCTTCGTGATATTTCTGTTCTACTGTTCTAATGCCATTCTTGATTTCTCTAATTATCATATATTTATTCGCATATCTTTAATACGCCACTGGCGCTATATTCACCGATGATTAATGTGATAATAATCGTTAATTTTGTTATTTGTCCATTTTATTGTGCAGGGTAGTTCCAGTCCGGAAGAAGCTCATATGGAATGGCATCACATGGGCCGTCGCCGCCGTCGACGCTGCCGATCGCGATAGCGATGGTCGCCGTGATGACAGCTGTGGCTAGTGGCCTCTGCCCGGCACGATGTCGGTGCGACGATGAGAGTCTACGCGCCTCTTGCGCTCACGCCGATCTCGAGGTCGTGCCGATCCAATTGAACCCGGAGATCCGTCACCTGGATCTTTCCAAGAATCGCGTGACCAGCGTGCACCTCACCTTCGGTTTCTACGGGAATCTCGAGAGCCTCGATCTCAGCTCGAATCTCATCCACACATTGGGCCAGGAGAATTTTGGTCTGCAACAAAACTTGCTCGCGCTAAACGTCAGCAACAACGCGGTTCATACACTAGCGAAGAATGCTCTGCGAGGACTTACGTCCCTGAAGGAATTGAATCTGGCTGGCAACAACATCTCGCACATGGACGAGCAGGCGTTCAAATACACCAGCGAGCTGGAAGTGTTGAATCTGAGCGACAATTCGATTACGAGTCTGCCTGACGACCTACTGACGAATCTGCACAAGATACGGACACTGATCCTAAGCGAGAATTCGCTGTTGGAAATACCGACGAATAACCTGGCGCTAGCGCCAAGTCTGGAGCGAATAGATATGTCGTATAACTTGATACTGGAACTCAATCGAGACTCCTTGCCGTCATTACCATCGCTGGTCTCCCTAAATCTGTCGAACAACGTCATTAGAGGCATCGCCGATGTCGCCTTCGATCGCCTGCCGGATCTCTTGTATCTGGATCTATCCGGGAACAATCTAACGTCCGTGCCTACGGCCGCCTTGGCCAGACTAAGCGTTCTCACGAGCCTCGTTTTAAGCACGAATCCTCTCGGGTTTTTAGAGGCCGTGGCCTTTCGCAATCTCTTCGAGTTGAGGAGCTTGGAACTGAACGACTGCATGATCGCGAGCGTGAACGCACGAGCGTTCGCCGATAACGTGAACCTCGAGCGCATCTCGATGGACGGCAATCGAGAATTGAGGGAGCTACCAGTACGTGTCTTATACGGGGCTCGATACCTCAGGTGGGTCTCGCTACGCCGATGTAGCCTGGCGACTCTGCAACCGACGCAATTTCCGGTCGACGGTCTATCCCATTTGCGTGTCGGCGGCAATCCTCTCGTGTGCAACTGCTCGGTCCACTGGCTGTGGAACGTGATTCGCGCCGAGGAGCGACGTAACGAGACGCGGCTCGAACTGGATACCCACGACATCGTCTGCAGCGATGAGGAATTCGCCGGCAAGGAGCTGATCGCGCTATCCGAGGGTTCCCTACGGTGTCGCCTGAGCCCGCTGTATCTATCGCTATCGGCAGCCGGTTGTCTAGCGGCGGCCGCGACCGTGCTCGCCCTGATCGCGCATGTCACCCGGGCGAAGAGGAAGAGACGCTCGTCGCTAGCGTACGCCGCGCCAAACCGTCCCGAATTTCTCGTCTACGTAGGTAGGAGCGACAACGGGCTGGACAAGAACGCCGAGTCGTACAGCCGCCGTCTGTTGGCCAGGAACAATGACGATATGTCGTACGATTCGCCGCGGGGCAAGATGGCGGCGGCTGCTACGGCGGAGTGCAGCCCGCAGTCGCAGGACACGAACATCTACGAGACTCCGCGGTACGCCCGGCCCGGGCATCGCGACCTCGTAGATCCTTCGTACGGGAAGCGGCCGACGGAGGAAGGGGTGTACGCGGTGGCGGACGTGACCGATCTGCGGGACGAGCCGCCGGAAGTGCTATCGCTTTATCGCGCGCAAAGCCCTTCCGCCCGATCGAACGCTCTGCGACGGTTGGACTACGGTTACGATTACGAGTACGATTACGATTACGAGCCGGCACATCAGTCGCCGCCGCCGCCACCGCCGCCGCCGCCGCTTTCCGAGAAACCGCACGTTGTCTTTGTGTGAGGGGGACGCTCGTGGGTCCAGCTATAGCCGTAATCAGCGAATTCGGGGATAGTCTAGTCGTTAAGGCGAACCGGATGCGCCACCAACTCCGTATCGCGAGCTTTTAACGGTCCAAAACGTCTCGGGATTATTGCCTCGACGACGCTCAGTGTCTTGATTACTCGAGCGTCACACTGCGTATGTGATGAGAGGACAGTGGTGTATATTGCGGGGATGGTGCAGAAAGGTTTGCACCATCGAAGCTCCACGACCGATCGTTAAATTTCCACAAACATAAGATATCGCTCTGAAATATTTGCTTCGGCACTACCGTTGTTGTTGGACACGCTACGTCTCATCGCATACCAGGACCAACAAATTGCACGTTGTATATACACGGTTAAACGTTTGAGCAATAGTAATTCGTTAAGTTCGTTCGACGAGCACGAGGATAGAGAATAAGGAAAAGAAAGAGAGAAGAAAGGAACAACGTCCAACATTGTTCCGAACAGTTTGCAACCGCGGTAAGACGCGAGGGTGGCGTCAATGTAAATGGACATTACTTTCCACTTGCCTCTTGAGAATGATCGATATCCCATCGCCGTCGGAAAAGCGGATTATCCTGAAATTCTGTTGCTCGAGCGCGAATGTGCCGTGTTTCGCTCGTAAGAAACTGAAGCGAGTTACGGAGCGCCCGTGACGCGACACGCTGAAATTATACCCCTAGGACAAACAGAAGCAACCGTGGACGAGTGAAAATGAAATGTCTTCCGAGATAGTTGCGTCGCTGCTAGAGAAAGAGAGGGAGAGAGAGAAAGAGAGAGAGAGAGAGAGAGAGAAAGAACGAGAGAAAGAGCAAGAGAGAAAGAGCCAGGATGCATTCTCACTCTGAGGAAACACAATCTGACTCGGAATGTGAATCGTGCGGGAACGTAAGAGAGTACGTTATATTATACTTGGATCGTGGAGAGAAAGAAGCAAAGAGAGAACGAGAATCCGTATTTATTTTCGAGAATTGTGAATTTTGAAATCCGCTGGCTCAGTGCGAATGCAATGGCCCGATTTTGCTAGACGAACGTTCATTTCGCGTCGGATTCGTTTGAACGTAGTGACAAATCAAATTAAAGCTGCGTCGCGTGTTAGTCGATTAAAGGTCCTCCTAGAGATTACTGCTAGCTACCTAGAGATTAATGCTCTTTGTAAAAAGTCCGTTCCAGGCTGAGAAGCTTTTCCGGCTCGAGGTTTGCAATTAAACTATTATCGACTACATCAACCGCGACTTAATAAATGTATAGCGCTCTTATCAAATTCATTTTTTAGAATCCAACTATTCGAGTATCTGGATTCAAATAAATATATATGTTTCTGTTTGATTATTTAATTATTGTGGATTTCTATAAATTATTTATTATTTAAATAATAAATTAGACAACAGATATGTGAATTATCGGACCTTTTATTTAGCCATTATAAAGCTCTAGTGCCCGAAATATCTATATTTAATTAAATAATTATA